GTGTATTAAATAAGATATGTGCTGCCAACGGAAGCAGTATGAATGGGGCTATTCCACAAATAAGAGACGTACTAACTCTGCCACGTGCACAGCTTTATTTGCTCTCTTTCAATTTTCCAATGTATTAATCTTGATTTAGTAATGTTCACATTAACAGACTCGATCGCTCGTTGACTTGAATATTTTTTACTATTTGATCAAGTTTACAAAATCAATAGTAAAGATGTTATATTAGCAACTGTTTAAATAAATACCACACAATGGAAATTACCTATTTATTTGTAATAAAATTTTGTGCAAAAAGTTGTCACATAAATATTTTTATTTGATTTAATAAGACGAAACGAACAAGTTAATTACAAAAATTAATAAAATTTGCACTTTTACGTGGACGTAAGAAGCATTAATAAATATAAAAGATTCCAATTATAATTTGAAAATAATCTTGAAGCATAGTTATATTAGTTTTCATTGTGTACATTTATTTTCTTTCCGCGGACAAATCCGTTGTAACACGGCACGTATTGATTTTCGGCGCGGGTGGATGCTGTGAGATCGTCGAGGAGAGGAATGTAGGGAAACTTCTACTATCCGTAATACTTCTTTTCCTTACCGTTTTCCCGTCTTGCCACTAACCTTTGATCATAATGCAAGACATGCTTTTCTGCCTGGCCGTTGATGAAATTTGTCAGGAGAATATACGCGTTGTTGAGCCTATATTTTCGATGGAGAAGCATTCTCTTCTCTGAAAAGCATACATTAATAACTTTTTGAAATTTTGATTGCTTTACTTTTAAAAACTGCGTTATGTATTGATGCATAATTTTTTTAAATTGAAAAGTGTTTTAGATGATGTATAAATTCTTATATATTTTTTATCTTATTTAATATATGTATATTGATTAATAATCTGGAAGCAATATTTGTTTCTTAAGAATCTAGAATTTTGTAGGGGGATTTATGTTAAAAACTTATTAATAATTATAAAAGAAATTTAGTGCAAGAGAATTTAAAATTAATCAATTTTGAATAATATTTTTATTAATTTATGGGCCAAATTGATTACAATTGCCAAATTGATGAATTCAATCATAATGTTAATTATCTAATAGTAAAATATCAGAATATTGACTCTCAAAAATATAAAACATTAAAAAGACATACAAGAAATAATAAATATTATTTTGAAATATTTCGATTGACATTTTTAATTATGTATCTACATATTTTTATATAGTACATGGAAATGAATGCTTTTTTAAATATTGTGAATAGTTATACAATAGCTAATGATCTTTATATTAAACAAAATTATATATTTACACTTATTAAACCAAAATTTCTTTTATTTATCGTTTTTTAAGTCACTAAAATAATATAATTTACAAAATAAAGGATTAAAATTTTTCACTATATTTGTTTATTTTGTTATTTTTATGTTAATATATAAATTATTACTACTATATAACTAACAAGAATTAATAGACCATTTGCATGAATCAAATCAAATGGGTTGACTCGCGTTTTATCAACTCTACACCGACTTTATAACCATATCTCGCGGTTTGCATGGATTTGCGGTTTCATCCTCGTTCATGACAGTTCTTGGTAATGCCATAAAACTGTCGTGCAGACACAAAATGTATATGCTTTGTTTTAACATTTATAGAGATGCATTTGCTATTGTGAAAAGAATTAAAATTAAAATTTATTTAAAAATAGATTGATCTAAAAAAATATTTAGAAAATAATCTAGAAAAATGTAAATCTAGAATCTTAAATCTAGAAAAAAGTAACATATTTTTTAAGTTTTTTTTATTCTCCATTACAAATAAAAGATTATCAATTAAAAACAATGATAAAAGATTTTTATTTTTATTTATTTTTTACACACACACACACACACACTTGATTTATCATTCATAAAAAGTAGATAAGTATTACAATGCATTTAGTTGAATTATTAAAAACATAAATTAGCATTATTTAAAGAGGGTAATTATATTCAATTTTTGTTAAAAAGAAAAATGCATAATCTTAAAAGATTCTCGAGTACAAGCGTGTACGAGACGGTATTTTCTCATTATAACGAACCATCTTCTTTTCGAGGATTACCAACCGTACTTAAGAAAACGAGTAGCAGCCTGAAATGAATTAGATGAAAGCTTATATATGCTAAATTAAAAAGAAGACACTTCTATTTACCTTAATTATTAAGTTTTTATTTAAGCTTTTCTTTTAAATATGAATGTTTTTGAAGCATGTCTTTAATAAAAATCGAGTTGTAAATTATTATTATTAATACAGATATCAACCAGTTTTTAGCTAACATAAGTATTTCTTGTTCTAAATTAATAAAATTTTATTTAGTCGAAATATGCAGTTAAAAGAAAGATATTTTTATTTCTCAAAATATTATGCTGTCTAAATAAAGAAAAAACATGAAAGTTCTTTATTATTGAAAGCAATGATAAAAAAATATCATTTTATATAATAATTTTGCAATATTTATTTGTACACAGAGGCGTGATAAGCAGATGGTATATGCGCTGTATTATAGGCAACCATTCATTCCTATGATGTAGATAGGTTTGATTGTACTAAGGCGTTGTGTGCAGTGACGAAGATATGACGCGAACAGGAGGTTGACGACCTTTATTAGTGCTTTGTTGCCAGTTCTTGCTAAAGTTATTAACAAAGTGTGTTGTCCGCGCTTGTTTTATAAGTATTTTGAAATGTTTATTCATGTAATTAAAAAGTTACTGTGAAAATGTCTTAAACATCAAATTTAAAAGTAATATTTTATTGCAGAAATAACTATATTTATTTTTATTATATTATGCGCTTTATCTTTATATAACTCTAAATATATGTCAAAAATAGGGGAAATTAAAATTTTAGCCACAATAAAATTATTATTGATATTGTATGTAAATATGTACAAAACTGATTTTTGCTATTAAAAATAATTTTTTAATTTATCTTCTATTTAATTAGGATACCAGAAAAAACTTTGTTAAATAAATTTTTTTAAAGAAATACGTTAATTGTTTGATGCAAAATATAATTAACAAAATTATTTTAATAGATTTCTTTTTGTTACTATAGATAGATAATAGCTGATCACTGGATGGCCTTTTATAAAATGTACGCGCTATTAAAAGACCTGGCCTGTATAAAAGAGTTAATTATTCAAGTTTGAGGAAAGAACGAAGACTAGTATACCATTATTAAGTACAAATTAGTCGTAATCATACACAAGTAAATGACAAAGTTTCTATAAACCATTTTTTTAACGTAAATGGTAAGATGATTTCTTGTATATTGCCGCACTAGAAATAATGAATCGAATCGGTCGATTCAGTCATTTTTGGCTGGAAAAAGTATGAGAGATTAATTATTTTTCACAAAAAATTGTATGGATTGATAAAACAATGTTGATGAAAACAAATATTTTCAATTTTTCTAATGAACATGAGCATATAGTTTTCCTGATTTATGGATACAATTAGATGATTGTCCGGCGTAATATTTCTTATAATTAGTTTTCAAGATTTCAAACCACTACATTTTTGTATTATTTTATTTTTTAAGTCTTCTGTGAATCTGTATTTGTATAACATTTTTTCTTATTTTATCTATGGAATATAGATTTGACACCGTTTGGCACAATTTAGACGTTAAAACCTAGAATATATTCTGTATGTATATATATAATAATTAACGGAATCTGTAAGAATAGTAAATAAATTATTATGTCAATAAACTTTTTTTCTTCCTGCTTTTGTGCAATAAAGCATAGAAACATAAGCAATTGCTAGTCATTAACTATGACAGCGTATACGTTCGATTTCAGGATCATTTTTCACTATCATAATAATATTTCACGCTTTTTTACAGTTTCTCTTTTCCGACGAATTCACAGTCATATGACTCTTCCTGCTTTTTGTACTTTCGTTCCTGTGGTGAATAACATTATTATAATTAATACGATTACTCAGTTATTGATGAGTAATCGTGTGGCAATCACCGGGAGTAGTGGTGTTTGATTCACTGACTTCAGCACGCAATCGCCACATTTGTGATACTTTTCATGCATGCAAAATAACTGGATATCGTCTTGCGAAGAAAGAAATATCGTTGTTTAACAAGGATTATAAATTTCGTTGAAACGCGATATGAAAGGGTGCTTCTGATTGACGTTGACACGGTTAATGTGAAAAAACGGTGTTTCCTTTACAGATTCTAATTATTGTGTAGTCTCCTGTGACGAAAACAATATGAACGTTGTGGTTCAATGGTGACATTGATCGGTTCTTCGTCGCTTCTCATAATGGCGATTTTATATGTTGCGCCGTCGTTGTGCCGCACCCAACTGTCTTATGTCTTACACGATGTTCACAGACCTATGATATTTTTATCTTGAATGTCTTCTTGTTCATTCTCTTCACTTATTCACTCATTCATTCGCACTTTTTTATTTTTTGTCAGATGCTCTCTCATTCTTCCTCCATTTTACTCTTTTTTTCGTTCGTTAATTACATATTTACTTTTATTGATCATATCTAAGGCGTTTTTAGATTTTACTTTTTAAATTAATTGTATTACTTTATTTTTTCTTATATCGATAGCTGTATATATTTTTTAAATCCTGTTTTATTAAATTTTTTAAGTATAGAATCTCTCGGACAATGTATAAAAATAAAACATGTAATAAATTTAATCAAGATTTTTAGATTTGTTTAATTATTTGTGATTTAAAGCACGGTATTTTATATAATTCAGTTTTTCGAGCTTGGGTAGATAGTCACATAACAATATTATTTCTTACTGATTATATTTTATATTTTGAAAAATATGTGCAATGTGAAGAGACAATTTTTGTATTATATAACTCACAGTGTACAATATGTGTAATATATCTATTTATTATATTACAATATATATGTGTATATATATATATATATATACATACTATATACACATATATTGTAATATAGTTAAAAATAAAGTTATATTAATCAATAAATGACTTTTTGCAATAATTCTATAACACTTTTGAGACATTGTCCCACGTCTTGGCCGATTTTGGTAATATTCTGGGCGGCTTGCTGAACTGCCGAATCATAGCACTCTTTCATATTGGGGAATAGTCCGGCGAGTTGCCTCATCGAGAGCACTACTTCTTTAATTGGCGTATTTAATTTAGGAACGTTGGTCATAACCTGAAAAAAGTTACAGTTCTCTTAAAAAGTTTTTTTTTAAATTATATACGTTAAATTAAACGCTGATCGGCATTAACAAACTTAAAAAATGTATAAAACTTGTACATAATAATATTTCTAATTCTATAAATATAATTAATATTGAAGCAATAGTTTAAAATAATAAACGTAGCGTGCATAATAAGTTTGCGTATAATTCAATCATATTTAAAATATTTTACTGAAACATATCTATCTAAAAGTGAAAATTTTACTCCGGCGTTGTCGAAGAAACAAACGAATATGTTCGACATTCAACATGTTAATCAAAGTTTTGTATAAAAGTTTCCAATGCATTAGATTGAAAGAGTATATTTTGATATAGAAAATTTTATACTATTAATCTATAAATAACATTTATGAGTTATTATGAATAAAATATATTTAAGGACTAAAAGAAGTAAAAATTAATTGAAGTACTTACGCTATGGCCGCATGTTATCATAGAAACAGGAGGAAGTTGTCTACAATTATAAAAATCTTGAACGATCTTTGTTACATTTGAGTGCAGATTATCTACTGCATTGTTCACATTTGCAAGCTTTTCTTTTGCTTGAGGCGTTCTTGTTGCGTCCTTCATGCAGGTATTAAAAGCCACTCCCAATTGCTTGGCAGCTTCGTGTGCTTCTGTAGGTACTTTAGTGCATGTTGGAGAAGTCAGAACCTTTACGGATTGTTCAACTTTATTTTTTATCTGACAATACAAATTTTTAAAAATTAGCAACACATTCAACTTTAAAGGATTACATTAAAATTTTTTAAATAAAATTTAACTTTTTTATATGATAAGAATCAATCGTATTGGTGAATTCTAGATTAAATAAATAAAAATATATTGCTTAGAATTTTGCTTAAATTATCAATAATTAAATATGATTAAAATAGATTTAATACTTTTTGTAAAAGAAACATAAACTTTTTATATTTATATTTAATAACTTATTAACTTTATTACAAATCATGTAATATTATGAGAGTGGACTCATAATTATTTTTTTGTATTTCTACTATCGTTTATGAATATCGTTTGTTTGTAATATTTAAGTTTACCAGCTTCGATACACAAATGAACTTTTTCGTATTACTTTGCCCTTTTTATTTTTAATGTATACATCAGTCATTTGAAATTTGTATATTAAACATTGTTGAATAAGAAACTACTATTATAAATATAATTTGACAAAATATCTACTGTATAAAATATAATATTTTGTTCCGCAATGTAAATCAAAATTAAAACTGTTTATTCCTAAACATAAAATGATACAGAGTGCGGTCCATTTAAAGCTATAAATGTTTCGAAGCATTCTTTGATTTGTATCATCAAGTGGATCATAGCCATAAAAATGTACCTTATTTATACGATTTGATATATATATATATATATTATACATTGTTAATAAAATTTAAATTAATTCTTACGCCATCAAGCATTCCTTGTCCACGATTTTGAAGATTTTCGCCCATATCTTTTATGTTTCCAAGCACACCTGAAACTCCATTTTTCGTATCACCCAACAGAGAACCTAAATCTAGCGATTTATCAAGAAGTCTAGCTTCTGCTGTTTGAAAAACCTAGAATTAAATTAATCGACACATAGAATATGTAATATATGCAAAATTATTTCAAATAATAGAGAGAAAACTTATTTGCAATATTATTTTATACATAAATTACAAGATAAATATATTAAATAAAATTTTCACAATCTTTTACACAAATTTTTGTTAAATATTAAATTTTTGCGATTCAAACAACTGTTTTAGGTTTAAGAATCGAGAAACTTACGCAAACAGCTGCGATGATGCAACTTAGGATGATAATTTTCGTCATTGTTGTTGTCCTAACTTTGGCGTATTACTTCTTGAGACTTCGAGAATAATACTTCTCTTTTTAAACTAAAACCCGCGTTTATATAAGATATTCGCTTCCAACTTCTAAAAGATATCGTTGCGATATGCAAATTAACTTGTCAAACTACGAGTAGTTATATCAATATGCAATTACTCTAATTAACCAAGGTAAAAAATAGTAGTAACGAACAAAATATATTACTCAAAAGAGAATTTTATAATTTATTTTTATGATATATTACTACGGATATATGTGCCATCTAATTTGCTTATGATAATTTAGATACTTTGCATATATGAATATGTAACTAATTAAAACAGTCTATTTCGCTGTGTAATAATGGAATACATAAAAGTTTGAAAATTTTGGGCTACAGCTTCTTATAAAAATACGCGATTAATAATATTTTATCAAATAAGTATTATTTCCAATTTCTTGTTATCTGCATTACAAATATTATAGACTGTAAAATTAAGTTTGTTATTAGTATAATTATTTTGCTAATGTTGTAAAAGTTAATTTGAAATGGGAACTTGTATATTGAAAAAAATCTTTTAACTATTAGATTAGAACATTGATAAAGAAATTTCAAATATTTCAAAAGATTGATTAAAAGTGTTGCTTGAAAATTAATAAAAAAAATTACAATATAGTATAAATATTACAGCAGTCTTTTGTATTACTGTTTAAAATCGTACCACATTTTGCAATTTATTTGTAATTTTTTCAAGTACATGATCAATTTTGATAAAATTCTTTCACAGAACATATAAGTGTTCTATTTTAACTTTACAATTATGGAGCTTATTAATTGTTTGTAAATTATCTTATAATATTGATAGATTTGACAATTTTAGCTTAAAATATAATCTTATCTTCTCACCAATTTTTATATTCGGATGTATATATACATACTAACATATTTATAAATATTTCTTTTCCCGACAAATCAATGAATATTAATCTGTTTCGTTACGTACAATATTAAAATGTGTATTTTTATTCTTTTAATTATTTCCTTTTATTCTTTATTTCTGTTGTTTTTTAAATACTTGTCAGTTAAGTTAATTATCTTTATTTATTAATCTCACGTCCTTCGATGGTAAAGTGCTTTTAATTATTGTAGTTTTCAAATATCATAGGGCATCCTTTATATTTTCTGTGATATTCTACGATATTGAATAAATAATACAAGGATTATATAAATATATATTGAATAAACTTTATTTCCATTGACAATTAAATATGCGAGAATGATAGGCAGTTACAGAGCGATTGCACATGGTAACAGTAAGTAAAGATATTCTTGAAATATTGCAAATGTAATATTGATATTCACGATTAATGCAGCTATTGTAGATGTATGTTGCTTAGTTTAGTTTGAAAAGCTTTCTTTTAAAAATGGGTTATTATATTATATTCTTATTTGTAATTAAATTTGATAACTTTTAAAATTTATATGCAATTATAATCAAGTTATCTTATTGTTAGTGTAAATACAAATTTTGCGTTAGACTATTTCTTCTATTATATTTATATGTTTAGTGAAATGTGTTCATTTTTCCTGAAGGCATCGTTTATAGCTGGTTAAAATTTCAGAAATTTGCCGTTTGAGTCGTGGTAAATTTGACTGAGTTTCACATTTTTCCAATTTTGACAGATACTTAGCAAATTGGAAAGATTTTTCGTCGAAATCAGCAACTTTACGACGTAATTCGTCGTTAACAGTCTGCAATAAATTATAGATTTCTATTAATATGTTGAATATTTTATTTAGCTATTTGGAAAGTTATAACATTAACTTTATTTAATAATAAATCAAGATAATTTTTTTTTGAAAAAAATGAATGCGATATGACATATTTATTGTTTTCCATGAATAAATATTGATATTTCCAATTCACAGATTAAATTTACTTATTTTTTTTTTTAATTTTTCATTTTACTTAAAAACATTATTTAAAATATGCACACAGAAACATTAATTAAATATAAAGTTAATTTATATACGAATACATTTTTTTATAATATTTACCTTAGTGTCATGAATTTCTTTCGTTAGGAGACTTCCCTCAAAGGCTAAGGAATTCATGTCTGTATCCACAGCGTCGGTTACTTTTTCGACACAGGATTTAAAGTGTGCAATGGTCTTTAAAGCAGCATCATCTATATTGGTTTTTGCATTATTGCAGGAGGCATCATTTGCGCTGATATGTTCTTTCTTCAAAGTTTCCATATCAGATCGAGCCTGCAATATTAATAATAAGTTTATTCAATTATAAAATTTGTATCTCATTGCAAATATGACATAATAATTAAAATATATTCTTAATAGACTATTTCGTTGAGTATGGAACATTTGATAATTGGCATTTTATAATTAAATTTAATATTTTGTTATTAAACGTATTTATTAATGTTTCTCGTAAAAAAAATTATTAATATTATTTAAAACTTACCTTTTCCACCATCTCATTCACACGTGGAATAAATTTGTCAACGTTAGTTGCTGCTAGCATTTTAATCGATTGTACTTGATCAAATGCCCGATTTTTTGCTGCTAAAATTATGAATAGCAATGGATCTTTCGAATCTTCTTCCGTTGATGCCGTGGCTGCATTTGCCTGGGGGAAAATCAGTCCCACAATTATAATTTATAAAAAACAATATTTCAAAATTAAAAAAGTAAAATTATACAATAGGGTTTGCTATTTTTAATAAAGAATACATTAAATTTTTTTCTAACAAAATTAATAAAGTCACACCTCGTATTTATAATACTTCTTGAAAATATTTTTTAAACAAAATTTGGTTTAAAATCAAACTATTTGTGAATGTGATACTTACAAAGGTTAAGATAGCAATGATCGTGAATTTCAACATTATTTTGCAGATTCCGTCGTATGACTTCTTCTGTTACAACTTTCACAATAAGACCTCTTCAAAGTGAAAACTGGATTTATATAGCATTGTAACGAGATATGCAAATGAATATATTTTTAAATTACACTTGTATCAATATAATTGATTTGATTAGCCCCAGATAGAAAACAATGATAAGAAAAAGAATTCGTTATCGCGAAGATTTTTTAGAATGACTCTGTAATTACACATTACAGATCAAATTTGCATAATGTTAGATTTACATATTTTTGTACAAATAAATACAATATAAAATTATATAGTTTTGCATGAAATTTAAAAATTACTGATAACCTGATGAAATTGCATACACGGAAAGAACAATTTTGCTGGATCCAGATAAAAAAATAATTTTTGTTTAATAATCAAAATAATTTTGTTGGAAAGTCAAAATGTTTGATAGAATATTAAAACGTTTTATAGCAATGCCTATCATTTTTAACTTTCTAACAAATTATTTTGATTACCGAACAAAAATTATTTTCAAATCTGTATTCAGCAAAATTTGTAGATCTTTCAAAAAACAAAATCATTCTTTCCGTGTATAAAACGTAATAAACACAACGCAATAAATACAAAATATAATAAATCTATAAATGTCTAATATAATAAATCTATAAATGAAAGCATTAAAAAAGTGGGAAATAATTTAATATATATAATTTTTAAAAATTACTTACAAGAGAGAGTATAAAAATATCTTAAAGGTTTTTATGCGTGATTTATAAATCAACTTAAAATAACCATTGCTAGTAGTCGAAAGTGGTAGGAACTTTTAAGATTAACTCTTAAATCTTTCAGATTAACTCCTAGATATTCTTTTTTTAACGTACTTTTATTTTCTATTTTGGAAAAAAGATAAATTCAACTAAAATTGTTATTACTCTAACGATTGTGAGAATGACATATTGAAAATATTATAAAAAGAATGGCAATTAAATAAAGAATATTACCTTTTCTTATGTTTTATTTTATCTGCGATAATGCAGATGAAACATTTCGAATAGCATTTTACGATGAGTGAAGCTACGAGTTCTGATACGTTCAATTAGTTAACCGGAGTTGCATTGGAATCGAAAACAAAACGTATATTATTGAGATCAGTGTGCCGCCGGTGAAAATGCGAGCACGTTGATTACCGTTAGAACCAGCCTCACGCGACGCGCGCATGTGTATGATACACATACGCACGCATACGCACGTGCTCGCGCTCGTACATACAAATTCACCCCTATAAAATATTCCCATAGGAGTTGGCGCACGGGGTGTCGTGGGAACGGTTTCGCTCGATATAAAATGCCGCGCACATTTTTATGGGGCGCGTATACGTTCAAGTAGCTCGGGGATTCCTTTGTAACGAATCGGCGACGAGTCTTCGCGCCTGGGAGTCGCGCACCGAGTCAATTCAATGAGAATATATTTTTCTTCCCTCCTCCAAAAGAGAGTATCATGACGGACACAATTCCAGTTTTCTACGGAGCATGTCGCGTCACGCGTACGCTGGCCAGATAATTATCAAATTTCAGCATAATATACAATAAATCTAAACCGTCTGCCTCTCTTTCTCTTTCGTTAAAATGACAAATTACTGTTATTGCCAGTATATTAAGTAGTAATATCAAAAACATTCTTTGTTGTATAAAGCGTCGTCATCAAGGGATAATTAATTAAATTTACTTTACACATATTTGGACATCACAAAGGCATTCCCTAATTGAATTTTTTCCGGCAATTAGTCAAATCAAATGATTATAAATCTTAATGTTTTTATTTATTTTACGTATATTTGTGTATTATACTAGCGTTATATATTGAAAATCTTTACTTTAATGTATAATTTATTTTAATTAATTATAATTTTAGATTTATTTACTCTATTTTGATTCAAATGATAATTCATTGTCTACTGTTACAGACTCAACATTTTAACGCTCAATGATAACATTAACAAAAATTACATGTAACTTATATATATAAGTTTACACATACATATAAACATGAATTTTTCTATTTGCTGCAAACATTTTTTTTAAATTAAAGTTTTAAATATATATATATATATATATATATATATGTATATAAGGTTTTTAAAAGAGTATTTGTAATTGAATGTCATCTTTGCTAATTTTTATATATTAATAATAATAATAATACATGAAAAGAACAATTTTGCTGGAAGATCTAAAAGTTTTGCTGGATACAGATCTGAAAATAATTTTGTTGGACCATCAAAATAATTTTATTGGAAATTAAAAAATGATGAGCATTGCCATAAAATGTTTTGATATTCTAAGAAGCGGAAATTGAAAATTTCCAATAAAATTATTTTGATGGTCCAACAAAAGTATTTTCAGATCTGCATCCAGCAAAATTTTTAGACCTTCCAGTAAAATCGTTCTTTTCATGTATAATAATATTGTAGGTAATATTAATTATTCTTTATATGCATAATATATACAATTTTTATATTTTTCAGGAAAAAGGGTGAACCATTAATCTGGAGTAGACTATAAAATTTTCGGTAAGTTATTAGTTATCTATATTTTCAACCACGTTTTATGTTTTGAAAATTATCTAGAATAGATTCTATAAATTATTGCTTTAATTCCCTAACTCTTATGTTTTCCTGTAAATATATAAACGTTGAATATGACAGTGAATGGACAGTAAAATCTATACATACATCTGCTCGTCCATTCTAATTCATTTCCTGTACATTGGAATATCGATGACATATGCGCTCGCGCGCGCTCCCGTACCTCATATACTCTTCAAAATACTCGAAATGGGATCATAGGTCATAGGAATGTAAGTTAGATGCAAAAGTAATGTAACGTTGAGTAATGTCTCGTGTCTGCGCTTGTGAATAGCAACTACATATATGTATTTTTCATAAGTATATAAAAATTATTTAGGATTACACACAAAATATACAGATATGTGTATGCAATATTCAAATAATAAAAATGCAAAAATATGATATAAAAATTAAATAATTTTGCACGAGAAATTTTTACTTATTACTAAAATTTACTTGTCCATCATTTATTTAAATATAATTTGCATATAAATTTCTCTACATTATTCTTGAAATTTAAACTAAAATTTTTTAATCACAAAAATTAAATTATTTTAATTAATTAAGATATGTTATGTTAAAGTATATGAGTCAAAAAATTAAAGTTTGCAACAAATAATGATTTTATATATATATATTTAATGTACATCAAGGAGAAATTGGTTTAAAATGTATTCAATGTTTCTTAATATTGATTTCCACCATTTCTAAAACATATTGTGGGAGAAAATACATTTCGAAGATTTCATGATAAATCTATTTACATATTTTTAGTTATTAAAATTTTTTCCTAAAAATCTATAAACATTATATTCTAATAAGAAATATAGAACATACGATAGAATAAACATTTATACTTAAAATAAAATTAAAAAATACATTTATATTTAAAAAGACAAATGGCTCAAATATTTTTATTCAAATATTTAAAAATATGTGAACAAAAATGTATGAGTCATTGTGATATATAGAACGTTACACTCACTGATAACATTTGACATTTTAAAATATTGTAAAAAATATCGTCGTATATTTCTTTTTTTTTCGGCTTTAATAATACAGAAAGAAATATCCTTTAATTTGAGATTTTAAAGTTCAAGATAATTAAATATCTTTATTTATCCTTGCATTGAGAATACAAAGTATCTTACTAATAATTCTAATGTTAGTTGAAGTGATAAGTTGATCGTTGGGCTACTATTGCAGGCTGATTAAATCATCGGCACGAAGTCCAATAGCTTCCGTTGAAATTGCACTGCTAACGCATCACGTAAAGCATACCGTATACTCTAGCCTTTCGGATTTGTTCACATGTCGAACACTGAACCATCTGTTATCCTGCCGATTGTCGAATGTCCACAAAACGATCGTTCATTGAACGTACTTGGGGATCAGTTTGCCTATCTAATCAACGTTTAACGACGTGCGGGAGGCCAGTGACGAAACGTTATGCTTCGTTAATTGCTATAACCCGATTTCACGTCGCGATTAAGCGCGTGTATATGCTCGTTTATTCCCGTGTACAAATAACAATGCTCTTCGTGGCTCTATTGTTGCGCGGCACTTATTGTGTGAACCACGCACACCAAAGAGAAGGGGCGGTTATGGGGCCTTGACTCAGAATTCCCATGACAGATCCTTCATCTTCTTCTGCATTCCATTTTACGGCGATAGTAAAATAAGAAAAAAAATATATATACAGGGATAGTTTACATCTTATTGAGGTGGTTTCGATTTCTTCCGCCTTCCTGTGGTAACCGAGATTATCGGCCAATTCTCATCAATTATTGTATCTTGTTCGTTCGGAGTGACTTTCCATCGGATAATGCTTAGAGTTTGCGTCACGCTTAATTTGCTGAATCGCAGTTGATTCGTGGTAAGAAGCAGGTAACGGTAGAAGAAAGCGCTCATTAGCGCGCAATCTCTTAACCGGAGAAACTGTCATGCTCAAAACAAAGGTAACCATCGAGTAAGATGAATAAGGCCTCGTTATTCCGTTGTATAACTTGCGCGGTGTTATTAACACGGATAAGGCATTTTTCTGGTTGCAAAAACAACTTCTTTATTAAGGCCCTATGTGATTACGCCATATGACATATGATGCTTATCAAGCGTTGACATTAAACTTTTGCGTAATTAATACCTACTTCCGTGGAAAATCAATTAGTTAGTCTCTTTCTTTAAATTGTATAAGAACAGTAATTTTAATTATACAAAAGAAATAATAATTCAATAAAGAATTTAATAATAAAAATTTAATTAAAAAACAGATACGTTAAATGAGAAATAAGAAGAAAGAGGTCACTGTTACGTTTCGAATAATTATAATTTATTTATCAAATCGAGACCCTTATTTCATACAATTCAATCACAGATATTGGAAAACATTAAATATGCAATCAAACGATTTCATTTTTCAAATTGACCTGCTAACAATTA